CCGTTGAGTAGATCTGCATTATATTTATACTAAATAATCTCTCTATAAGATTTAACGAGGAAACACTTTTACCAACAGATGTTACTTCGCGCTCTCTCTCGACAATCAAAAATCGCTGTCAACAAGTCTCTTATCATGCTTGTCCAGTTTATTGGTGCAGAAGCTTGGACAATTACCAACAGTGATGCGAAGGCGTTAGAAGCAGCGAGTATCGAATTATATGGAATGGTGAGCTGTATGAGCTATACCGTGACATTGCTATAGTTAAGTGTGTAATAATTTAGCGGTTCCGATGGCTTGGTCATTTCGTGTGAAATGAACTGACTAGAAAAGTGTTTGCTTCGTTACCCGCTGGTGGAAAACTCGTTAGAGAGCATTCGTATCTTCTTTGTAATGTCCTTTACAGGTGTCAAACGATATGAAGGCGGTCGTACCACCAACTGACGACAGCAAGCCACTGATCTGTCTGACGGAACGTTTAGGACACAACTAAGTACGACTCGCTTCTGTAATGGTCAATTAAGTATGTAAATCTCTATACAAAAGAGCAGAACTAGGCTATAAAATTTTTATTTAGGGTTGCTATCATACAAAAAAATGTTGAAATCGGATTTATTTTTTAAGTTGATAAATCCAAATTATTTAACAAATTCGTCAAATGATATAGAATGTAGGTATTAGATTTTAATTTGAGGGATACCAAATAAGTGATGTCAAATCGAAGGCGAGTTTGTTACTTACGACATACGGCTGAAGTTATAAGCTAATTGTATAGCTTCATAAATTTGTTAGATATTTCTGGGGTGTCATAGTACAAACTGTCTCTTATAATTGAAGCCCTAAATATGCTTTTATGCAATATTAATCTATCCGTGTTAAAACCAACCTCACTTTAACATTATCCTAACTAAACTGTGCAACGGATCTACTGTCAAAAAATTGATATCAAATAGTAATGAAGCTACAATTGATATTTTGTAAAACTCGAAATTTCAGTGCCAAATTTTTATAAATTTTTAAATGAAGATAGAAGAGTACAGTCAGTAAATAATATTAATACTTACCATTATTCAAAACTTTTTATATTGAGTATTTATAAAGAAAAACATTTCATTTTTATATTCATAGTTTATTTTTCACTAAATGTTGTTTGGGGAAATTTTATTAGTTTAATTTTGTATTTGAATTATATTGTAATTAATATTTTTTAAGACATTTTCAATATTTTTAATTAAATATTTTTTTTATTTTTAATTATTTCTTCATAATTTTGCCTTATTAAAAATTTTAAATTAATAGCTAAATTAATTAGAGCATATATAAAAATTTTTTATAATATTAAAGGAAAATAAAACATAATATTTTAAACAATACACAAATTCAATTAAAAAAAATGTTTTTTATTATAATTTAATATATTACAAGTAGCAATTGAAATATTTTAACACACTATATGATAATGGTAGATAATAATTTTAAATCCCATTTTAAATAACTTATAGTATATATAATATAATATAATATAAATAATATTAATAAATAAATTGTATGTATTTATTTAAATTTTAACAGAAATTATATAAATTAAACTATATAACTTATTCTGAAGGTATTCCTAAATAGGGGGGAGATAAAATAACTTAACATAATAACATAACTTAAATTAACATAAAATAACATAACTTATTCCATATAAAATTATTAGCCACAATTAAAATACATATGAATATGAATTTAAGGAATTCCAAAAAAATTTTCATATTAAAAATAATATTAATATATCTTTGTTATATATAAATATTATTATTATATAATATTATTATTATATAATATTATTATTATATAATATTTATTATATATATATAACATTTCTTTATTAAAAATAAATTTATATATATTATTTTTAGTTTCAAAAAAAATATATTTAAATTTATAAAAACAAACAAAAATGCTCTTATGCCAGAAATAAAAATTAAATTTATTATTTATTAAAAATAAATCCATACAAAATTATTAATTATTAATAAATTTCAAATAAATTTTATATGAAAATAAATTTAAAAAATTTCGAAAGAATCGTTTTATGCCAAAAATAAGTTAAAAATTTATTTGTTTATTAAAAATTAGTTTAATAGGATTTAATAGTTTAGCATAAATAAATATTTTATTAATATTGTATATATTTTCTTTAAGTTTACAATATAATTCAGATTTGATTCAATACATAAATTGATGTGCCACTTTAACATATTTTGCAAATTTATTTTTTTTTTGTTTATAAATTTTCTATTAAATAATTTATTTATTTAATTAGATTGCTTTTCATTTTAGGTATAATAGTATTACTTTTTTAAAATTAATCCTAATTAAAATGAACTTAATATTGAAAAGTTAAAATTTAATATTATAAATTTTAAGTAAGTTCTTAGTTTATTTGTAGTAAAAATTTGATTTTGTTAGAAATTTTGTAATTCCAAGAGAAATACTAAATTAATAAAAAAAACTGCCATATATTAATTATTTGGCTAATGAAAACCTCTGCTGCGTTATGCTATAGTCAAAGACTACAGCTTACAAAAACAATTCCAATATCAGTTATTAAGTCGAGTTTTTATGGTAAAGAGTGCTCTTCAGTTTAGATTTAGCTAACTTAGCGCTAATCACAAAATGTTCTTTATATTTTTATAGTTAAATTTAAATGGTTGAGGTCCGTGCTAAATATATTTTATTAATTTATTCAGAAATGAAAATCCATACAGTTTTGCAGTCACTGCAATAGTATACACATAAAATTTATTCAATAAATATTTTATAATTTAAAACATATATAAACTTCGGAGTTTTAAGAAAAATTAATGTTTTTAATTAAATCAATTATTATTAATTTAAGTGCATAAGTTCAACACTCACTAATAGCCAATTTATTAGTAATTCTTTTGTAGGTATGTCACTTAAAAGCAATTTTGAGTAATAAATGAAATGAAAATTAATTTAATTTTGTATATATTTTGGCAATTTTAATTGTTTAGTTAAATATAAATTGACATAATAAATACAGTACCCATTATAAAGAAGCTTAAAATTTATCAAAATCATCATATAATTTTGTTGTAAATGTTTTTCTTGAAGTTTATCTCATTCATATGCAATTTACTTAATTTTATTAAAGCTAAAACAATAAATTTTTATAATATATTATTTTATATATTTTCTTTATTATATTCATACAACAGTTTGTATTTTTTATGCAAAAATTGTTCAAAATTTAAAAAATTGTAAGGGTTAGGCCATTCTTTGATGGAATTGTGTTAAATATACGTGGAATGTGCAAATCACAAAAAATCCACAAAACTCTTTCCATGACGCCAGAACAATCCATTGCCAAATATGGATATATAACTTTTAGCTTAACAAATGACGTCAACGTTCTATATATGAATTTAATATCAGAATTGAATTTTTTTGCTTATATATTTTACTGATAATTCAATATAATTTACAACATAATTCAATATTTTGCACAAATGTGATATAGACGTAGGCTGTGACAAATGTGTAATTTTACACAAACAAGAATTTATTCTTTTTGCAGTAGAAAATCTAGAACTCTTTTATGAGATTTTCACATTCCACAAACATTCATCACAATTGCACCATCGAGTGAACATCCCTATTTTTTTGTAATTAAACAAACTAAATTTGGACTGATTTTTTCTGTTATTATTATTTTCTTCTTTTCTTTTAATAAGTTTAAATTATGTTTTGCAATGTTTTCATTTATTTTAAAATAGTTTTTCTTTCTATGTGTTTTTAACAATTTATACTTAATGTTTGCTTTGTTTGTGTGTTTGTTTTATGCGCACACGTTAAATTGAATTTCTTTCAAATATATTTCCACAAAAATATACATTTTCGGGAAATCCATTGGGATGGCTTACAATTTTTATTCAGCCGAAGTTGGTACTTCTTTACGGGTTTTATGGCCCCGGAATGATGCTTGTATCTTAGTAGCTGCTTTATTAAGCTCTGGATCAGTGAGATCAATATCTAATTCCTCAGCAACTTTTTTAGTTATTTCCTGTATGTCAACATCTTCTGGTTCATCCTTATTGACAAGTTTCCGAGCCAAGTGCCCACGGAAAGTTGATTGAATTTTAAGAGCAGCGTCACATAATTCTGAAAGAAAAATATTATATAAAATTATTATATTTTTAAAATGATTTAACATCATATATAACTTTCAATAAATCTTAATAACTTAAAGATTTATTAAATTAAAGACTTTTTATTCATTTATAAAATCATAATTTGCATTATTGATTTAAAATTAGATGTACTATGTAAGTTAAAACGAAATTGTATAAAAAATTGTGAATTTAATTCCAAACTATAGTAAAACTTCAAAGAGATAGCGAAAACCGTTTGCTACAGTGGCGTAACCAGGAATGTACTAGGAAGGGATATACTAGTAAACTGTTTTTTTTGTAGTTTTTTTTGCATTTCTTTCAATTAATTATAGTTTCAGAGAATTGGGAGGATTTACACATTATACAAGTAGTTTATTTTCAACTCTCCAAAATTTTTCAAAACTTCAGAGAGCATTCCTCTCTCTCTCTCTCTCTCTCTCTCTCTGTATCTCACTCTCTCTTTCTGCCTGTCTCTTTCTTTCTCTCTCTCTTTCTGTCCATTCTTCTCTACCTCCTTTTTTGTCTTCCTCTCTCTCTTTCTGTCTTTTCCTCTCTGTATTTCTCTTCTACTTTTATTCTCACTCTCTGACTGTCTCTCTGTCTCATTCTCTCTCTCTCTTTGTCTGTCTATTTCTGTTTCATTGTCTGTGTCTCTTTTTGTCTCTCTCTGTTTCTCTTTTTTTTTCATTTCTCCTTTTCTCTCTCACTCTTACTGTGTTTTTCTCTATCTTTTTTTACTATAAAAGCTCTGTCTTTTTTTTTCTCTCTGGTTATTTTTCAATCTGGTTTTCTTATCCATCATTTAAGAATATTTATTTAACAACTCGACTATCGCGGTTTGTATATTTTCTTTATTCATACCTTTAATGATGGTTTTTTCAAGTCTCATACTGAGGTCTTCAATACCTTTCCGTATTCAAAAAAGATATATGCTCGTTAATCATTTCGACAGATTACTAAGTCATTACTTGACCCTAATACAGATCATTCTTTTTTAAACTGGATGGATATTGACAAAAAATTTGAGTTTTTATAATATAATGATTAAACCAAATGATAAATGAAAAATAAATTTAACTAAGTTTTTTTTAATTATTTGTAAATGTAACTATTTATAAAATGTTAAATCCAATATCTTTTAAATGCAGTCAGCTGTATCATTTACGGGGTCTAAGATATGGCCATTTAAAATTTTGTCCAAAACTCAAATTCTCAAAACTCCGTAGGGATAATTATAAAATTTTTTCACTAAGATACGGATCTTTTTTTTTAATAGGATTTTATAAAAAAAACTCCAGCCTATCGAATATGATGGGGTCAAAAGTCGTCCCATTTATAAAAGAGTGACTTATATGTTTTGTTGTGTTTTATATTATGCAGAGGAACTAGTCTATTCCCAATAAAGAGAAGATAGCTATTACCTAATTTTGGGCACTCAAAGTCAATGTGTTCTGATATTTCACAGAAGCGCGGAGATCAATTTTGTTAAGTTGCTAGAAAGTAGAGCTAGAAATGGCCTCAAGGACCTTTTTATATGCTTTGTTTACAAAGAAATAAAATAAAATAAAATTTACTTTTTTAAAATATCAATAAAAAGTAAGTTTTTGAATATTATTCGAATGATTAATTTCATTCAATGCGGAAAAAAAAACAAAAAATTCAAAAATGTTTCAAACTTTTTTAATTTACATAAAATGCAAAAATCTGTTTTCACAAAATATTTTTTAATTATTTTAAATTAAATTTCAGGTTTCAATTTTGGCAGTTGTTTGCATATCGCGTTGAGGTCATATTTTATATAAACTTCAAAAAAATTACTTCAATGTTTTGCCCAAATAAGAAAACAAATATTTTATCGTGTTTTATTTATGCAGTATTTTGAATGTCAAATAAAATTATTAAAAACATTCAAAAATAATAAATAGAATTTTCTATAATCAAATATTTATTCCATATGCCGTAAAATTATTATTATTCATATAAACAATTTATTCAGGACATCAGATGTATTTGGACTCGTTGTTTTATTTAAAAATATATAAAAATATTTAAATTGTATTTAAATTTTTCTATATTATTTGTTTGTACTAATGAAGTTGTATTAATAATTTTAATTAAAATCAAATTTGTTTTCTCAAAAACACGTCAATGTATAAGTTATTAGGGGTGACATCTTGAATGAAAGAAAGAAATTTATTCAAAAAATTGTTTTATTTTAAATAATACATCATACTTCCAATGGTTCTCCATTTTAAATATTAATATTTTAAATATTATTATTATTATCAGAAAAATATGACGTTAAATTATGACGTCAAAATATTGGTCTCGCCCGTGCGACTATTGGAGTAACATTAGCATAACTTTCTCAGCATTACGTTCCTAGATTAGGTTCTATAAATAAGAAAGAAACAGAATAGTATTGAAATTTAACAATTAAAAATGAAAATATAATGAATTAATTCAATTATTCTACAGCTGGTTTCTGATTTCGTTCTAATATAAACACAGCAAGTAAATTTGTTAATAAAACTTTTACAGCAAACTAACAAAATTCCAGTAATAATTGCGAACATACCAGTCATGTACGGCTTTGGGTCAGTTGGTTAAGGTGCGCTGACTCTGAGCTTCAAATTTGGCAGGGCCCGAATTCGATTCCTGGTACTTGCAATCTCAGAAAAATTATTTATGAATAATAAAATACAAAAATTATTTCCAAGACCATTGATGATGGGTATTTGACAATAATCGAAACAGCTGTATGGTCAGCCAAAAATTCAATTAATTAAAATAACATTAAATCAATTTTTGTTGTTGTAGTTCACTACTGTTCGGAAAACCTCTTTAATAATATTTTGAAGAATAATAAAATAATAATCAAATTTTACGGAATAATAATTTAATAATAATATAGTAATAAAATAAATAAAATTTAGTATTTATAATAAAATATTAAAATTTACAGAAGTCCTAGTTAACATAGCATTTATATATATCAATACACTTCGTATTAAAATGTCGGGTAAATGATATAATGAAATAATTTTTGAAAACTTCATCGTTTTTAATTTGACTGGAATGAACTCTAAGCCTGGCACTTGCAGTGCAACAAATTATATGCGAACGTTTCTTCCACTTAAAGTGGATAAAATTTCTGTAACTCTATATCTTTGATCTGGGTCAGAAAGGGAATGTGTGATACTGTAACAGACGCTCCTTTATCTGTCTGAATGACATTTTGTCAAAATATGAAATGTTTTCTGTTTATCAAGGGTTAGTTTTATTATAAAATATTTACTATAATTATATTATATTATTATTATGTTAGATTCAATTTACAATCTTAACAGGAAAGAACTATTTGAAGTGACAGATTGCCATTTCAGCTTGAAAATAAATAGTTATAGCATATTTTTCTAAATGTATATATATTATCTATTACATTATCTTTTCTATCTATTATATTATAGATATATTCAGGGCGCAATGTTTTGCTTCTTATGAGAGTATAAGTCCCTATAGTACTGTGTAAGATTTAGAATTTTATTTTTCTCTACTTAAGTAAATGTAATATGTTTTTTTTACTAATTTCATTATTATCAATGTCCCTTCAAGCATATCAACTGTTTTTTAATAAAAAGTCCTTTGGGTAAATATATTCTATTATTCTACTAACTGACTTACTTAAAGTGCTATTAAGCCAAACAATTCTTGGTGCTTAGATACAGAAGGATATTTTTATTATTTTTTTTTTTTGGTCTATAAACACTTAACTATAAATATTACTCATTACTTTCTTAAATATTGTCTAAATCTCATTTGGAATGCCTTTAATATTGCATTAAAAGCGATTCGCTTTGCTGTCATAGGACGCGGATTAAACTTAATGTTCAAATGTTTATCTTCATTTTATTATGTGAATTTAAACGCCTTCCAGCAAACTCAAAGTCAAGTCAGAGCAATTTGAAATTATATTGGTTCGAGTGATAATGTGGTTAACCTCATTATATGGAAGTGATGAATTTCTCTCAGTATAAATGTCATTTCAGCAAGAATTGATGAAACTTCCGCCATAGAGACAAGGCAAAGGAAAAATCAGAAACTTCTTATGAGAAAGATAAAACAATGTATACGAGTTGTAATACAAACCCAATTCAATTATTGGGGACTATGTTTTCTTCTTTCCTTTTGTGTTTCTGTGACTGCTATGTCATCGTATAAAAAAAAACGAACAAGAATTATCTCTGAAATGTCAGTATTCTTTATTCTTTCTGAAAAATAAAAATATAGCAGATTTTCTTTTTAGTATCTGCTGATTGTGCTATGCTTGCAATTTGCAGTAAAAAAGTGGTTAAATTTTATTAAATAAATTAAAAGAAATATAATTGGAATAAATTTTATTGCCGTGCAAGTTGTGAGCAGCAATAAAATAACAAAAAAAGAAGTGAAAGGTAAAATTTATGGTCAGTTTTGTCAAGTAGGACCTGTCAGCAAGAGTATTCCTGCTCTGAGGACTCTTTACTTTCACATTGTACAACAAATGGACACAAAAATATTTTGAGGTTTTTACAGCAAAAAGACTCTTTCTAAATTCTACTAACTAAGAACTTTTTAATTAATTTAGACCAAACGTAAAAACTAGAGGCACTTCTGACTGATTTATATGGGCTCGTAAAGCAAATTGCCACTACGGTTGCTTTCCACAAATACGTACGCGTACTAAAAAATTACTTTTATAGTTCTGAGATATTTTTTACAGAAAAATTTATGTAAACATTTATTAACCTTTTTATAATAAAATAAAACTTTACTTTAAATAGTTATTGTTATGAGAGAAATGCTTGTAAAACAATTTTTATAATTAATTGTTTTGCTTCGCGTTTTTACAAACTTTTAATTTTTAAATTATAGCAAATATAATTTGTTTTAAATCATAATAAACAAATCAGGTTAGGTTACAGTGAGAATTTCGAAAACTAAGATTTATTTAAGCTGCCAATCAAAGTTTATCAGATAGTGATAATGTAGCAGGTTAGAAAGATAATTCCGAAAACTGCGAGCCAGTTAGGCTATCAATCAAAGACTCTCAGATAATGATTATATACAAAAAAGAGTAGATTTGAATGACAATTCCAAAAACTAAAATTTTAAAATAGATTTATTTAAGCTGCGAATCAAAGACTCTCAGACAATGATAATGTCTGAAAACAGAGATCCAGTTAGGCGATCAATCAAAGACTCTAAATCTGATAGCCAGGGACACCTGGTTTGTATTAAATATATGTTAAATTTAAAAATAATTGATAATAAATAATATTTAAATAGTACTTATAGTACTTACTTATATAGTACTTACTTATATACCATAATTGGTCAATTTTTTATTATTGTTAAAATTAAAAATCAAGAAAAACAAACAATTATTTTAATTACTTTAGACTAATTTTCAAATATCGATTAAATAAAAATTATTGTAATATAATTTGTTGTTTTTTTTTAATTTTTTATTTTTAACAAAAATAAAAAATTGACTAATAAGCCTAGAGAACACTATATTATAATAAATAATACTTAATACTATTCACACAGATTGAAATGTAATAAGCTTCAAGAAAAATGTATTTTACAAACAATTGTGAAACCCCCTTAATTTAGGTTCGCACAAATAAATTGCTGCCTTTAAAAGACTTGGTCCTACGACAGTTACCCATTTTCTCCCTAAATATAGGACGGCCAGAGATTTTTTTGATTATGATTCTAATACGCATAGACGTAAAGTGAAAATGTAGAACAAGAATAGAGAATGAATCTACAGTAGTGAATTTTTTTGTGCATTCAGAACTTAAGGCCGAATTAAGGCCACAAAATTTCTTGTTAAGGACTTTTTAATTTTAGATGGAACAGAAGCTTCCGCTCTAGTACCCACTTTTCTCTGTCAACAATGCTAGATAAACACTATAAATGTGCTTTCAAATGTCATCCCCTTACACATAAATATATCATTCTTTTTCGTCAGATAAATATGTCTTTCTTGCTAAGATGGTAACTTAAGTTAAAAGAAACCGTCAGACAACTTTAGCTCTGTCCTTCTAAGCACGGATGTCTATCAGCGGTCAAGCTAATTTTTAATTGTACGACTAAAACTGTTGTTATAGGATTATCTTCGAATTAATTTCAATCGGTGCTAGTGTTAACAAGCATCTAGCACAGGACTACTGTTTTTTGGCTTGTAGCTATAATGCATTTTAGCAGTCCGATAGACGTAACGGATCTGCCAGGAAACTTCAGCTCAGTACTTCTGTCTGTGGTCGTGCTTTTTGGTATGATAGTGTATAAAATTGTATGATTATGTATGATTATCTGTGAACACATTGTTATCGATTTCTGTAATCGTCACATGTAGAAGTAACCCGACAAGAGTCATAAGGAAATTGTCTAGAAGGATCTTTTTCACAAATGTCTGAAAAAGGAAGATATAGTTTCTGATTTATTTATCGTTTTGGTTACTCATTTATTTATCGTATTGGTTACTGATTTATTTATCGTTTTGGTTACTGATATTTATGTTATCAAAACAATGCTGGTTCTTGGCTTAGTTTATATTGCATTAGAGTGGTGGTCTTGTACACCAAACCCCAACTAACTCAAATAATGACCCGTAGTGATACCACAATTAACGTTGTTCATATGCAGACTAGAAGGATCCTAAAAAGTCTACAATGGTTAGATTACAGATAACGCTGATATAATTCAGAGTTCACTTTCTAAAACGAATTTTTGGGTGCTTTATTAAATTTTATTATATATAATATATAATTTTTTATATTTAATTAAAATTTTTCACTGTTTCCTTTTGCTTTTACAGCTTTTCATGAATAAAAATATTTTATTTTTTATTTTTTGTTTTCTTTTTTTTATTTTTCAGAAAATGCACGAAATATGTGTATTGGAAAGTATTTCCACAAAGACTGGGGTAAGTTCGTATTAATTCTCATAGCTACTACTTATAAACACGTAAACGTAGAACATTTAAATATTTATAAATTTATTAAAATGTTTACAGATATATATAGATATTTATATATATATATGTTTAAAATCGCAAAAGTAACAAAAATTTGCACATCAACCGCCTTTAGTACCGCCGGAGTAGTCCTCGAACAGTTTAAAATTTTAAAAGCACGTTTTAAAATAAATTTTCTGTTTGATTTTCATTTACACAAAATAAAAAAAAAAAATAAAATATTATATACTTAAATGATAAAATAATTTTATTCCCGAGGGCAGGCTTGACCACATAAAATGTGTTGGAAAAGAAAATAAAATGAGTTGCAATAAAAAAGTTGTGTTCATTCTCATATAATTGCATACAAGCAGGACGAAATGGGAACTGCTTTCTAGAGCAGTGTTTGTTTGGTCATAACTGCTCTGGAGCTTAAAATTTTATAAATTTTAACAATTTTGTGACACCGAAGTGAAATTAGCTGGCCATGTACGTAATAACAAGAACTGCATTAATTATGTTAATAACACTAAATGAGAGATATTTTTAATAGTTCACAAATGCTGTATAATGTCTGTGTAAGTCTAAATTAATCTGTTTTTATCTTAAATTGATTTTTAAAGAAATCAACTAAATGCTTAATATAAACTATTTTTTTTCAATAGTGAGGTTTTTAACGAACTATAGTGAATTGCAACAACATTACATTTTTATTATTTCAACTAAATTTTTAGCTAACCTTTTTTTATCTATTCTCTATTGTGTATTCTGTGTTTCATAATGATTGAAAATTTTAAAAATTCTAAAACAAATTATTAAAATAAGTTTTTTTCAGTGACATGCTAGAAAATATTGTTTGGGCTATGTTTTTGCAGTGTATTAACTGCAGATTATATTGTCAAAGGGGGATTTATTTCATAACACCGCCAACTTATTTAACGTTAATGTTATGAACATCTTCTATCACTATCCAAAGATGGTTTCAAAATAAGTAGTGGTGTAGACAGTGCAGTTTACGTAGAAGAACTGAACAGAACCTCCTACAATAATTCGGAATTATTGTAGTGTTTCCCAGGCGAAAGTGATTGCCATTGTGCTAGCTATAGCTTGTCTGAAAATGCATGGTATATTTAACAGTAATATATACGTACTACCAGACAGTCAAGTTGCTTTAAAGTCCTTAAGTTTATGACTGCTACACATTCCTTAGCGAAATATTGACATAGGCAGATACAAAAACATTAGAACCATCTTTTTATTAAAGCCACGTATTCAGTTATTCTTAGTGTGAATTAAAACTGCCTACAGGTAAAATAGAGTCAAGGTGATGAGTCACCAACTCAGGCGCAAACACATACAAGACATATCTCTAATCTGGGTTCTCGATCATAATGATATTTTCGACAATTATAAAGCCAGAAAAGATGCTTCAGGACTTCACTCGGAACATATAAATAATCTGGGCATATCGTTAATATCATCTAAACTGCTACTAAACTGTTATTTCTGTGTT